GGGGGGCGGGAGGGGAGAGAAACTGCTCTCACTTTGCTCCGAAGCTGTTGCACGGAGCCTCACTGCTGCTGCCGGTTTTGCTATTTAATTGTGACAGAAATTCTGATTGACTCATTTGGCATTAAGGCAAAATGAAAAAAAAATTCTCTGTTTGAATATGTGGCTTTGATTCCGTTAGCCTTGCACGTTCATTTATTTAATGCTTGTGTCAAGTGCTGGAGTGCCAGGCGCTGGGTCTGGATCCTGCTCTGACTGAAGTCAAAGGCAAAGCCCCCTCTCCCTCCCGAATTCAGCAGCAGCACAGTTGGGGCCCCTTAGGATCGACACAGCATTTTGGGCCTAGCTACCCAGGTTTGGTTGGCAGACTCTGCTTTGTGGGGCTTATGCTAGTGCTCTAAAACTAGCTGAAGAGACAGCGCTTTGAAATCACGGCGTGGGCTCTGAAGCCCACCCCTCTCCCTAGGCTTCAGGGCCTGAGCTCTAACCTGAGTCACAGCTTCAAAGCGTTTTCTACATAGCTATTTCCAGAGTGCTAGCGGGAGCCCCACAAGCCTGAGTCTGTCGACCTAGGCTGGGAGGCTGGTGCCAAAATGCTGTGTAGATATCCCCGTAGAGACCAGAAGAGTCTGGGTTTGATTGTGTCCTATGATGGAACTCTGCTCAGCTCAGCAGACGTGGACAGGCTGTTGGAGAGATGGTTCCAGCCCGCCCTCAGCTTGGTGTGAGCTAGAGCAGCTTTCAGGTGGCTCTAAATTACATTGACATAGGATCCTACTCCATTGCAGGATTGTTGTGGGCCCCTCCATACTCCAGCCGTGCCACTTACACTGTGGAGATGGAGGTGCAGGGTCAGGCTGTCATGCAGATGCATGGGCAGAGAGTCCCCTCTGCCAGGGGAATTCTCTGCTGACCATTTGCAGCTGGATAATGGCTCCATTATGCTCCTGGAGTGACATAAAGGGGTGATAACCCAGTTTGAAAATCTGGCTTTCTATCCATAGAAGAGGTACAGCTGCCCACTCCGCTCCACCTGTTTTGTCACCCTTTAATCACCATTTTGTGCAATATCCAAGCACTGCATTTTCAAATTCAAGTGCTTTAAATTAGGTACCCAAAGCTATAGTAAGGTCCCAATCCTGCCAACACTCATGCAGATGCTTAATTTAGGCATATATGTAGCAAGGTCAGTGGAACTAATACCATGCATAATGATTGGCAGGTTTGGGGCTGATGTGACCTGACTTTTTGGGCATTCCCATTGAAGTCAATAGCATGTGTGCTGCTGTGCACCTTTGCAAATCAGGCCACTTTCTTACGTGATCATGCATAGACTCTGATCCTGCAATCACTTATGCATGGCAGTAACATGGCCCATCGACACAATTCCATTGAAATCGCTGGCACTGCTCCTTTTTTCACAAGCCCAGTTTCTTTCTTCTGTATCTGCTAATGCAATGGAGAAATCCTTGTGAGGTTCAACAAAATTAGCTGGAGTTAAAGATAATGGGTGATTGAATCGCCACATGGCATCAGTCCATAAACGTAAACTGGTAAATTGCTGTAGCAGGAGGAAAAGCCAGGTTGTTAAATATCTGCACCATAATTAACCTATTATAGTCTCTGTTTTCTCTTTAAGGAAAGGGTTAATTTTATGTGATTGCCAATAAAACCTAGCCTTTTTCCAATGCCTCCCTAATAGCCAGGTGATACTCTGACATAACAACTGCTTGCTGGAGGCTGTGCATGCTTTCTTTGTAAGCAGCCATCTATGTGGAAGCCCATAGTTTCCAATCTGTCCTTCTAAATTGCTGCAAAGAGAAGGACTTCATTAAGGGAGCGTAAGGCTGCCTAATAATAATAATAATTAATAATAAAAAAGCAAATGGAATAGTGGCTAGAAGGAGGTGAGGGACTGAGTTCCCGGCAGACCCCCTGAAGAAAAGCAGACAGCATAGGGCAGGGAAGCGACAGGTAAAGTGGTCGCTATAAACACTTTCCCTTGAAAGCTGTGTCTTTTCAATAAACAGGCTGTTAGCCGGTCTGCGGCTTTAGCAAAATATTTCCAGTTGACTTCATGGGTGGTTCAGAGCTGGGAGCTGTTAGCTCATGCTCAGTTAAATTTCAAATGTCAGAGCTCATTAGTGGTGATTTTAGCCAAAGACAGTTTGCGAGGAGCTGTGCAAACTTAACTTCCTCAAATAAAATTGAGGGAAGACATCATTGTTGTGTTTCTATTTATTTATTGAGTCTCTCCCTCTTTTCCCCCCCTCCCCCCTCTGCACCTTCTCTCTCTGGTTCTGGTAGAGGTCATTCTCAGCTTTCCCAACATTGGGTTTCTAGTTGATCTTCTCTGTTTTCTTTAATTGGCCTTGTCCTTTCATGCTCTCCCTGTGAATACTAGGTGATTTGCAGATGAATTCTTTGAATTCTTGAGGTTGCTTTTCATCTGAGCTCAGTGATACATGTGCACACAGTATTACATGGCTATAAGGAAGCACAGAGTCTGTGTAACATTATAGATTTACCGGACAAAGTGCTATGAAATATAGTGCAGAGACTAGTCCTGTATTAGCCAAGGGGATGGATCAGACAATACCCCATAATAAGTCTTTCCCTCTCTGGCTTAGCCATGTCTGTGATCCAGGGCTGGAATCATCATTGTTGTATGAGCCCTTTGTTCCAGCTGGACAGGTGCAAAAAGGCTGTAAGGCAGGCATGAGGTTGCCTTGGAGAATACTCCTTGCAAAGGGGGCCACTGGGCACACAGTTACATCTGTCAGCTGCCCCA